AGCAGCATCATCATCGTCACCATCATCCCGTCCTCCCTCTCCTCCTCTCCTCCTCCTCCTCCTCATCCTCCTTCTCCTCCTCCTTCTCCTCCTCCTCCTTCCCCTCCTCCTCCTCCTCCTCCTCCTCCTCCTCCTCCTCCTCCTCCTCTTGCTGCTCCTCCACCTACCCTTCCTACTCCTTCTCCTCCTCCTGTTCATCGTCCTCCTCCTCCTGCTGCTGCTCCTCCTCCTCCTTCTCCTCATCCTTCTCCTCCTCCTCCTTCTCCTGCTCCGCCTCCCTCCTCTTTCTCTTCCTTGTCCTCCTGCTGTTCCTTCCTCCTCCTCTTCCTCCGCCTCCTTCTCCTCCTTCTCCTGTTCCTCTTCTTTCACTTATCCTCCTCCTCCCTCCTTCTCCCCCTCCTCCTCCTCCTCCTCCTCCTCCTCCTCGTCCTCCACCTCGTCCTCGTCCTCGTCATCCTCCTCCTCCTCCTCCTCCTCCTCCTCGTCCTCCTCCTCCTCCTCCTCCTCCTCCTCCTCCTCCTCCTCCTCCTCCTCCTCCTCCTCCCCTGCGCCCCTGTATCCTCTTGGCAGGTAGGCCCAAATATTCTCTCTTCCAGGAGCCGTACCCCGGGTGTTATTACTTGGACGTCCTCTGACCTGATCCCTGTTGGCCTCGGGCAAAAGGAGGAGGGGAAGAGGGAAGGGAGGAAGTACGAGGGAGGAGAGAGGAGGGACGAGGGAGAAGGGATGCAGACTGTACTGGCCGGCCTGTGTGGCGCTAGGGAGGGCTGACATGACAGTCATTTTGGCAACTTCATAATCCTCCTCCTCCTCCTCCTCCTCTTCTCCCTCCTCCTCCTTCTTCTCCGTCGCTCCACCCCTCCCCTCCCTCCACCCTCCCCTCCCTCCACCCTCCGTCCCTCCTCCCTTGCCTCCCTCCTCCCTTCCCTCGCGCCCCCTCGCCCCTTTCTCCTCTCGTCCCTCCTGCTTTATCCTCCTTACTTGTTTGCTGCTTCCTCGAGCGGGGAGCCTCAGGACTGCATCGCCCGCGGCGTCAGCTGTTCATTCTCCTCCTCCTCCTCCTCCTCCTCCTCCTCTTCCTCCTCCTCCTCTTCCTTTTTCTCTCTCCCCCCTTCTCCTCCTCCTCCTCCTCCTCCTCCTCCTCCTCCTTCTCCTCCTCCTTCGTCCTCTCCTCCTCATCCTTCTCCTTCTGCTGCTGCCCCTCGCCTGGCCCGCGCTCCCATGCTCAGGCGCGTGATGGGCGCGCGTCCCGGGCTCATGATGGGCGCGTTCCAGGCGCCAGCGCCCTCGCCCGCCCTCCCGTCGCGCCCTCCCCCCCGACCCCTTCCCGCCCCTCCTCCCGTGCGCCCCTGCTGGCCCCGCCCCCTTCCCTGAGATCCTGGCGTCGCCATGTTGTTCGGGCCGGGCGTTCTCGAATGGTGGCTCGCCCCAGGAGCCCGAGAGATCGACGCAGCTCGAACAGTAAGATGGGGTCCGGGGCTCCGGTCGTGAAGTCTGGCGATGCTTCAGTTGTTTCGCGGCGTCGGGTCTCAGGGCTCCCCCGCCTCCCCTGCTGACCTCCCCCGCCCCCGCCTCCGCCGCCGGCGGGCCGAGCCGCGCGTAGAGGCAAGTCGGGCATGTCCTTGAGCAGGAGGAATCTTCAAACACAGCCAGAAAAAAGTCTGGGGAGGATGTTTCTACCATTTTTGACTATGTGGGGATCTGCTTGACTATTCCCCAGTTCTCTTCCAAAGTCCGCCAGTAGGAGGAGGTGCCCGACCCAGGCTTGGAGGCGCGAGCAGTGTCTTTCCCACGCCTCCTGCCGCTCGAGGGAGCCCCGGGCGCGAGCGGTGTGGCTTGCGGGGACCGCGCGGTGGGAGGCGCAGCCCGCCCGACCCAGACCAGCGCATGGGAGCTGGAAGGAGTGAGGGGGGCCAGCCCTTCCACGCTTCCCGGCCCTGGCCGGTGTCCTTCTATTTTTGTTTCCAGCCCTGGCGACCGCATCCCTGTGGTTTCGGATTCGCTTCACCCCCTGCCAGTGTTTCCAGCCCTGGCCACTTCCGCTTTCGCTGATTTTCCAACTTCCACTATTCCCAGCTTCCCTGGAGGGTATCGACTACAGAACCGATTCAACTCAGAAACATGTGTTCTCCGATTGTATTGAGAAAGTACGCAGAATTCTTTGGAGTTCTCGACACCCGTTCTACGCTGTTGTAGTAGATCCGATGAACGACATCAATTATGGGGGAAGTCAATTCCGTAGTCGATCCCCTACTCGAATCCTGGGTCCCTGGAAGTCCCGACCCCTTTCCCAGGGCCGGCTTCGGCGCGAGCCGTTTTGTTGGCGGCCCCGGGGCCGGGCCAGGGCCCCCAGAGGCCGAACACATGGCCAAGAGCTTCCCGGCCTGCTTTTGTGTCGACGCGCGCATGTTTGGAGAGTCCTTTCCCTTCCAAAGTTCACCGAGCGCGATCCACGACTCGCAGAGTGCCTACTCGCAACCGTCCGAAGCGAAACACATCTCTGCCAAGATGTGGCGTATCGTAAATCCCCCATGGCGGATCCAGGCCACTTGCGAGTAGTTACGTTGCGAGTCGTGGAACGCGCCTCTCGACAAGCAGAGCCCGAGCCCCAGCTCGGGGGCTCCCGCGGCACCTCGCCGGGGCCGCGACCGCGGCGAGACCGGGAGGCAGAGGTATATCGCGGCGCTCCTTCGGCCTCACGGCGCCTCTCCCCGCGACGGCTCGGGACCCCCAAGCGGTGCGGCGACAACACCTCCTCCTCCTCCTCCTCCTCCTCCCCTCCTCTCCTCCTCCTCCTCCTCCTCCTCTTCTCATCCCTCCTCCTCCTTCTCCCCCTCCTCCTGTTCCTCTCCCTCCTCCTCCTCCTCCTCCTCCTCCTCCCCCTCCTCCTCCTCCTCCTCCCAATCCTTCTCCCCCTGCTCCCACTCCTCGCAGCACCCGGCACTCTGTGTGCGCCTGTCGCCTCTCCCATCGCGCGGCCACGGAGCACCTCCGATCCCAGACCTCCTCGCGGTGTGACGACATCACGACGGGAGGTGTTTCGCTGTTGTGGGCCTCCAGGGTCCAGGCCTCGGGGCTGTCAACAAACGGCTCGTGATGAGAAACCGGCCCAGGGGAAGGGGTCCAGGCTCCTGTGGGGTCACGTCATGCAAAAATCATGACGTCGGGGGTCTGGGACTGACGGAACGCAGGTCGGAGAACCACAGTCGAGCATCTCATGAATAAACCTCCGCCCGAAATGTTGGCCCAGCTCGAAGAACAAAAACAACTACATAAACATGAATTGTTGGCGGTCGGGACGGATTTCTTGGATCTGCGCTGGCCCCCTCGACGGCGCCTCCGCGCCAAAAGTTTATGTTTATGGCGTTCTCCCTTCTTCTGGAGCATACGATGAGAAGCCTCCTCCTGAAAAGCTGGTCCAGCCTTTCTTAACAAACTTGCCAGAAAACTGGCCCGGTTCCTTGAGCACGTTCGCCCTTCCGGCGTGACCGGCCGACAGTGGCCCGGGCTGCTTTACAGAAGCCTTCGGGAAGCTGGACCAGATTTCTTAAAAAACCGTTTTCTTGATCCTATGTTCGGCTGTAGTGCGTTTGGACCCCAGGAGGGGTCCTGGGATCGATTTTGAGTTGTCTCTGTCTGCCCACCCGTACAGTTAAGTCGGGTCTGTCCTTCTACAGGGGGAAAATTCAAAAATAGTCAGAAAATCGGCTGGGGGCGATTTTTGCTACTATGTTTGAGTATTTGGAAGTATGTTGGGGGTATGTTTTAATTTTTCGCCCAAAATCCCCCTGTAGGGGGACACGCCCGACTTAAACCGTACGGTGAGTGAGTGAGTGAGGATTTGCGGTGACCGCATGGGGGACGTTGTCGGCTGCGAGCGAAGGGGGGAATTGAGAAGGAGAAGGCCTTCTCAGAATGCTCGGAAGCCCCCCCCCCAGCCTTCTGAGAAGTTTCCCCAGCTTTCCCCGAAGACAATGAAAGCTTCTCAGAAGGCGCGGGGGCTTCTGAGAAGTTCCGCCGCCTTGCCTTCTGAGAAGGCCTTCGCCTTCTCCTTCCCCCCCCTCGCTCGCCGCCGACTTTGGTCGATCTCCGAGGACGCCTTGGGTGGTCGGGGCCCCCGAGTTCCCAAACTCGTGCGGCGACGGACCATACTTACGCGGGGACCCTGGGCCCGAGCCTGACCCGAGCCCGCATCCCGAGCTCGAGCCCGAGCTCCAGGCGCCTGAGCTAAGTCGGGCATGTCCCGCTGCAGCAGGAACCTTCGTGGACGGTTCCACACATACGTCGGGGAGGATCTCTCGATGACCATCTCTGGCTATGCCTGGCGATGTCTTGACCACTCCAGTGCTCCGTTCAAGATCCGCCTGCAGGAGGACCTGCCCGACCTCACGCCTGAGCTTAAGTCGGGCCTGTCCCCCTACAGGGGGATTTTCGATGGAAAAAATACCCCAAAATAATCAAAACATATTCCAAAGATAGTCTGGGGACTATTTTTTGAATGTTGTTGGACCTTTTTGGGGCATTTTGGGGGTATTCTTTATTCTTCGCCAAAAATCCCCCTGCAGGACGCGCCAGACATAAGCCTGAGCCCCTGAGCTCGAGCCCGAGCCTTGCGAGGGCCCCCGAGGTCACCGCACGCTCCGCCGCTGCACCGGCCTGGGACCCCCGAGCGGCGGGCGGCGCCGCCGCCCGCGGCGGAGGGGGGCAGCCCGCCCTGCGCGGTGGCCGGGGGCGGCTGCCTGCCTTGCGCGGTGTGCCGCTCCTCCGCAGGGCTTTCGCCGCCGCGGCCGGCCAGCGGTGCCACGAGTGTTCCGGCTCAAGTCGGGCAAGTCCCTCCACAGGAGGAATCTTCAAGAACGGTAAAAAGATAGTCTGGGGAGAGTTTTTGTTTGGGATCGCTTGTGAACATTCTTTGACCTATGGTTAGTTCTCTTCCACTATAGGAGGACATGCCCGACCTAAACCTAGACACGCCCGCGTCCTGACAAAGATCAGGACGCGCGGTTCTTGGCCGTCGAGGGCCCCTGGGGGATCTGGGCTTCCGAGGACCTCTTGTCGGCGGCGATCGACGAGGGGAAATGAGAAGGAGAAGGCCTTCTCAGAAGGCTCCGAAGTCCTCCAGTCCTCTGAGAAGTTTCTGATCTCAGAAGGCGCGGGGGCTTATGAGAGGTCCCGCCGCCTTGTCATACCAGAGAAAACCCACTCATAATCGTTTCAAGGATATAGGACTATGGGGCTAAAGGGCTATAGGGCTATAGGGCTATAAGGCCATAGGGCTATAAGGCCATAGGGCTATAGGGCTAGAGGGCTAGAGAGCTAGAGGGCTGTAGGGCTATAGGGCTATAGGGCTAGAGAGCTAGAGGGCTGTAGGGCTATAGGGCTATATGGCTATAGGGTTATAAGGGTATAAAACTACGGAGCTGTTAGGGCTATAGGGTTATAAAGCTATTGGGGCTATAGGGATACAGGGCTATAGGGCTATATGGCTGTAAGGCTATAAGGCTCTAGGGTTATAAGGCTGTAGGGCTACCGGGCGGGCACCCGGGCACCCCCGGGCACGCCCGGGCACCCGGGCACCTGGGCGTGCGGCGAAAATCGGCGGCGAACTTAATTTAACCACATGAACCCGCTAGGATCCCTACAGAGGCAAGCTCTGATTGAGGAAAGAGAGAGAGAGAGAGAGAGAGAGAGAGAGCCCACGGCCTCGCCAGCCTCGCCTATAGATGGGCCTGGGGGTGCTCCGCATTGGTGGTTCGTTCCCTCGCTCGCTCGCCGCCCCCCTGTGTATACTCGATGCAGCCTGCGCAAAGCCGCTGGCACGAACACAGGATAGCAGCACTTCTTCGCGCCGACCTGTCCGACGTCTGCCTTGCGTGGCATCGCAGGGGCCGTGCGATGGCGGTCTCAGCGAGAGGTGCGCTTGAGCCTGTGTGTACGCGAGTGCGCACATCCGTGATGTTGTTGCACGCTGTTGCCTGCTTGCTTGCACCCACGCGATGCCATCCCGCTAGCGCTGCAAGCGGATGTTCAAGACCGTTCGGGGCTTGTACAAGGATGCGCCCCTCGTGTTCATCGGCGTGCTGGTGGGGCACGGCGGGAGTGCTTGATGAGGAGCTGCAGTCGAGTCAGAAACACAGGACTACATATATATCACAGCATGCTGAGCATGACTGCTCCGCTTTCACAGAGGCAGACCTGGGCAGGGTGGTGCCAAGACCACCTGTTGCTAAACACTGTTGCGGCGGGGGGCTGGAAGCCAATGAGTAGAATCAGCCCGCCGTATCACTCTACGTGCAGAGAGGTGGGAAACGAGCTCGAGCGAGGAGGGGGGGAGGCGGAGTACTGTAGAAGAGATGCCTCGTGCATGCTTGGGTCCTCCGACGCCCTGGCTCTCACGCAGCCCCTGTGATTCTCGATTGCTTCGGGCGCAGATAATGTTTGGGTGGCGTTTCTCGCAGCGCTCCTTGAGGTGAGGCGGCTGTTCCCCGCCGCTCCAGACGAGCGAATGCTGTTGGTCCTTTATTCAAACTGGCTGGTCAATCATCTTGCGAACTGGCTGGTTTGTTTTCTTCGGTGAGAGTGCTTTCGGTGCGAGGATGACCAATGAGCAAGAGGACCGTCGTTGCACCCGTCAGTGCAATCCCCCAAACCCTCCCCCGTCCTCGCCCGCTTCCCTTCTCCTCTCGCGCCCCGCGGCGGAGGAGGGGGAGGGGAGGGAGGATTTGATGGGTGGCTGTAGCGGGTTCTCCCGAATGACGGAGTGACTCCTGGCTCGTCTGGCGCCGCGCTCTCCGCCAGCACGATCACGGGGCCGTCGCATGCAGACGAGGGAGGAGGCGGATGTCCTGTGGAGGAGCGTCTGGCATTCTGTGGAGGGCCGCTGTCAAGGTCGTCGGACGAAGGCCCAGTTTGCGGAGGGAGAGGGCAGCATCCCCAGACAGCCAGCGTCTCGATTGAATTGCGACTAAGGTGTTTTTCACTGTTTTCGGCCTCTCGGGGCCCTTACCAGGCCTCGGGACCGTCCAACAACGATCCGGGATGAAACACCGGCCCTGGGGGCGTTCAGGTGGAACGCCGCCAGCGGCCCCGAAGCGACCGCTGTGGAACGATCGTGGGATCGAAAAAGCGTGGATGTCTCAAGGTGGGACGATCCACGCGGTGTCAGAAACCGACGCCAGGGTCGCCACGACACGAACCTGTGTCCGGAAAACAAGCACTAAGGCGGTTTTGTCCCTCTACAGGAGGAATCGGAGGTATGGGGGTGAGATCGCAGCGGAACGGAGACCCCCAACCGGGAAATCGGTTCGTTTCGTTTGTGTCGTGTGTGCGGGCGAGGCAAAGCTGCGTGGGCGCGCGAGAGGAATGAACCCGCCGTTGCTAGGGCGAAGTCAAGACAAATGATACTCCCCCTCCCGCCCGTCCGGCGGTGTCCCGCGGTGTCCCGCGGTGTCCCGTGGTTCTCCCCCGCCCGCCCGTCCCTCCGTCCGTCTGGCGGTGGTTCGCGGTGTCCCGCGGTGTCCCGTGGTGTCCCGTGACCAGTGGTGTCCCGGTGAGTGAGATCGATTCTGAGATCGATACTGAGATCGATGTGGTGTCCCGAGGTGTCCCGTGGTGTCCCATGGTGTCCCAAACATTGAGGTCGATAGTCAGATCGATGGCGAGATCGACAGGTGTCCCGTGGTGTCCCGTGGTGTCCCGTTGCGTGAGATCGATTGTGAGATCGATATTGAGATTGATACTGAGATCGATGTGGTGTCCCGAGGTGTCCCGTGGTGTCCAGTGGTATCCTATGGTGTCCCGTTGAGTGAGATCGATTGTGAGATCGATCGTGAGACCGATTGTGAGATCGAGAGGTGTCCCGCGGTGTCCCGTGGTGCCCCGTGGTGGCCCGTGGTGTCCCGTTGTGTCCCAAGCAGTGAGATCGATAGTGAGTTCGATAGTGAGATCGTCAAGTGTCCCGTGGTGTCCCGTGGTGTCCCGTGGTGTCCCGTTGACTTAGATCGATAGTAAGATCGATTGAGTCAGATGTGGTTTTATAGGTATCCAAAGAATAATTTACAAAATAATGCGGGGACGATTTGTTGAACATTGTTGAGCATCTGTTATTTCTTTCTCTGCTTCTTGTTATTTGTCGTCCAAAGTCCGCCTTTAGGGAGACGCGCCCGACCTAAACCAACGCCAGGGTCGCCACGACACGAACCTGCCGCACCCGTCCGGGAAACAAGCAGTCCGGAACGAGAGGCCCGGGCGACCTCGCAGGGGAGCGGGGGGACAGCAGGGGAGGGGAGGGGAAGAAGGAGGAGGAGGAGGAGGGGGAGGAGGAAGGAGGAGGAGGAGGAGGAGGAGAAGAGGAGGAGGGGGCGGGGGGGGGAGGGGGAGGGGGAGGGGAGGGAGAGGGGGAGGAGAGGATGAGGAGGAGAGGGATGATGATGATGATGATGATGATGATGATGATGATGATGATGATGATGATGATGTGATGATGATGATGATGATGATGATGATGATGATGATGATGATGATGGTGATGGTGATGGTGATGGTGATGATGATGATGATGATGATGATGATGATGATGAGGAGGAGGAGGAGGAGGAGGAGGACGAGGAGGATGAGGAGGAGGAGGAGGAGGAGGAGGAGGAGGAGGGGCAGAGAGAGATGAGGAGGGGAGGTCGTCATCGCGCTGATCATCATGATAGCTACTTTGTTCAGGCCGCTTGCTGCATGTTGCTCTTTCAGCGGGTATGGCCGGGTACTTTTTGTGAATTCGGGAGCCCCCGCAGTTTCGGTTCGTGCCCATGCCCCAGATGATTGGAAGAGCCTCCTCTGGACCGTCCCTGGCGAAATTGCTGCGAATACTTCGCTGAGAGCTTGTAGCGCTGGATGCACGACTCCATGCTGGCCCCCCCCCGCCCCCGCAGACGAGGAACTACGAGTGTGTCGCTGTAGGTGCTTCGTGGTGACCAGGACAAGCGAGGAAGGAGGAATGAGGAAGGACACATCGCTGCAAGGGTTTCCTACCACCCATATTCATCCAAACAGATTGCTGGAGGTGCGCGAGTCCGTGCAAGAGATCGAGCGAGCTCGGAGATTGATCATATGGTGTATTGGTGTAGGGAGTGGCGTTGCATACGAGGTTTCCTCCCGAGCGGGGCCTCATTCATTGCCGATGGCCAGAATAGCCAGATGCCATACCGACAGGATGCGGCCCGCGAGTTCATGACGATTGACTTAGAGCTCTGGGAAGCCCCCCTTGGAGGTGGCCACCCAAGCATAGCGAGGGCCACGGACGAGATGCCGCGGATACCTGTTTCGTGTCCAGGCGCGTCGACAGCATCGCCTTCGGCTCTTTCCCTCCGCAGCGGAGGCAGAGCCGAAGCCGACCCCCACTGCGCGGACCTGCGCGAGGGCAATCTAGCGGAGGCTCTGTCCATGCGTTCCGTTGGCTGTGCGAAACCTATTTCGCATGAGTCGGAGAAGGGATATTGAAGACAGAAGCCAGGGCGCAATACTCTACTGCGTGAACCACGCTGGTAACTAATACGAATGACAATTACCAGAAGAAGGAAAAGGAGAAGGAGTCTTTCTTAGCCAAATCTAGCTCGATCGCCCCGTCGCAGGCTCGGGCAGGGGGCCTCGGTGCAGCGTGCAGGGCTCGGCATCGGCGAGCTGACGACGCCAGGCGTGCGGACGTCGCCCTCGGGCCGAGCTCGCAAGGGGCCCCGGCCGGCGAGAGCCCCGGTGCGGCCGCTGCCTCGGGCCAGGCTTGGCGAGCATGGTGCGGAGGCTGGCAACGGGAGCCAACCCCCACCGACCAAGGTCGGGGCTTAGGAGACGGGAGTCAGTGCAAACGGGGGTCAGCCGGATCCTGCAGGATCCTGCGAAGACCCCCCCTGGCTGACGCGGGTCAGCGAGCCGCTCGTGGCCGCGAGGCGGCCGCGCACATTGGCTGACCCGGGTTTGCGAAGACCTGCGTTGCAGTTTTTTGTCTTGCATTGCAGTTGTTTGGTTTCCTGCTGACCCGGGTCTGGATTGATCCGGGTCAGAAGATCCCCGACAAGGAAGGAAAAACCACCCAGATCCCGACAAGTGGCGTTTACGAAACGGCCCCGGGCGTCATCCACGCAGCCCTGCCCCGTTCGATTCCTTCCTTGGGGGTGCGTTTGCCAAACGGCTCCGCTCGTCGGGTCGGGGTGCTCACTATGGGGGTGTAGCTTCTGCGCTCTAATCTTTAAGGGTAAAAAACGGCATAAACATAAACCCTCGACGGTCCGCGCGAATTTCTTGGATCTGCGCTGGGGCGCCCTGGCGGCGCGTCTGGCGCCGCCCCTGGCGCGCTCCGTGCGCCAGGGAGGGGGGTCTAGCGCAGATACATGGAATCCGCGCGGACCGTTGACAGTTTATGTTTGTGCCGTCTCTTCTTCTTCCATGATCGAGGGAGGGGGGTGGAGGATGGAGAGAGGGACGGGCGCGGGGGGGGGGGCATGTGGTGGGGGGGGGGAAGGGGGGAGAATAAGACCGACTACGACCACTTCGGACTGTTCAGAAACTACTTCAGTCAGATTACGCTGTAGCGCCGCGCACATTTTTTGAAGATTTTCAAGAGTTTTATGGGTTGAGGGCGGGTCGTTTTCAACACGTGGTTATCGCCATAGCGCCGCGCACATTTTTCACTGGCAAGAGCTTCACGGATTGAGGGCGGGCCGTTTTCAAAATGTGGCTCTCGCCTGAGCGCCGCCCACCTTTCTTTTAAACATTTGCAAGAGCTTTACGGATTGAGGGTGGGTCGTTTTCAAAATGCGGCTCTCGCTGTAGCGCCGCGCACATTCGTTTTTTCCTACCTAGGCTCTGCCTAGAAGGGTTCTTACTTGGTGTGCTTAAAGGGCCGGGCAGTGGAACCCGCCCCGGGCGGTTCCCCCGGCATCCGTTCCGCGGTTCCCCCAGTGACGTTCCTTCAGCTTAGCGTTGCTTATCTCATCTTGGCTTAGCGGATTTCATCTTAGTTTAGCTTAGCTTCATCTTAGCTCAGGTTTATCTTTCTTTAGCATAACATAGCGTAGCATATCATAGCCAATCATAGCATAGCATAGCATAGCATAGCATAGCGCAGCTTTGCATAGCATAGCATAGCATAGCATAGCATAGCATAGCATAGCGCAGCTTTGCATAGCATAGCTTAGCATAGCTTAGCATAGCGCAGCGCAGCATGACATAGCATAGCATAGCTTAGCATAGCATAGCATAGCATAGCGCAGCACAGCATAGCATAGCATAGCATAGCATAGTGCAGCATAGCATGGCATAGCATAGCATAGCATAGCACATCATAGCATAGCAACTAATGCTGCCTTCCTAGGGGCTCCAACTTCTAGGTAGGGTCGCACTGGGGTCATCTATTTTCAAAACCAAAAAAAACGCAATATCTGCACGTATTGAGGGCGGGCCGTTTTCCAAACGTGGCTCTCGCCTTAGCGCCGCCCACCTTTCTTGTAAACACATGCAAGAGCTTCACGGGTTAAGGGTGGGTCGTTTTCAAAATGTGGCCTTCGCCTTAGCGCCGCGAGGATTCGTTTTTTGTACATGGATTGAGGGCGGGTCCTTTTCAAATTCGGTTCTCGCTGTAGCGCCGCGCACATTCGTTTAACAAACTGCATATGCCTCACGGGTTGAAGGCGGTTCCTTTGCAAAATGTGGTTTTCGCTTTAACGCCGCGCACATTCGTTTACAATATTGCAATACTTTCGCGGACTCACATGGTCGACGTACCAGAAGTTCTGGAAGGATTCCGGATTATGCGGGCGCAACAGTTATGTTGATTTGTTGCGCCGAAGTCCTCAAAATGGCGCTCAGGCACGATTCTGGATCGTCAAGACAGTCACCAAGACGCAGCAGTCACGTTGATACGTGCCGTTGATATCCCGAAACCAATGTTCTGCCACCCTTCAGGATCTCCAAACTGGTGTCTTCCAATGAGGCAGTTCCTGGAATGGAATCGAACCGTTGTAGGGGCCTCTGAAGAGGGAGCTTGGAAGGATAGGTAATTCCAACATCGTTGATGACTCTTGGGTTTCCACTGGTCTTCCTTCCTTCTCCTTCTCCTCCTCCTCCTCCTTCTCCTCCTCATCCTCCTCCTCCTCCTCCTCCTCCCCGCGTGGCCCCCCTCGGCGATGCTCGGGCTCCTCCGCACGCGCGCTTCCTCGCGCGTTTCCCCCGCGTGGCCGCGGACAGCAGCGGCGTGCCCATCCCCGCCCGCGTCGGCGGCGGCGCCGTTTCCCACCGATCTTCCTCCCCAGCAGGAGCATATCGTCGCATCCCTGGCGCGCCTCCAGGAGGAGGAGGAGAAGGAGGAGGAGGAGGAGAAGGAGGAGGAGGAGGAGGATGGAGCATGGAGGAGCCCCCCATCCCGCCCAGCATGGTGCTGACGCGGTTGGTCGGCGGGCACGGCGCGCTGGTGGCGGACTTGGTGCTCTTCTGGCTGTTCGCGCGGCTGGTCGCCAGGGTCGCCCCGCCCGGCCTCCGGCCGGGGTCGGCCCAAGTCTGCGTACGGCCTTCGCTGGGGAGGGGGAGAAAGGGGCGGGAAGTACACTGGGAAGCCATGCCAAGAAACACCGTGCTTGCCTCCAGAGTGCCCTGTGTTTCTTGGGCTTCGATGGTTTTGCGAAGCAAGGCGTGACGCTCCCACGCCAAAAATCAATGGACGTTCTGGGGTCTCAGGGTTGGGTTTCTTGTGGTCGAGCTCATCCTGTAGGGAGGGAGGGAGGGAGGGAAGGAGGGGAAGAGAGGGCTGTAGGGAGGGACGCGAGAGGAGAGAGGAGAGGAATAGGGATGCAGGGAGCGAGGGAATGGGGGGGGAACGGGAGGAGGCAGGGAGGGAATGGGCCGAGGGAGGGAATAGAGATGAGGGGAGGGGGGGGAAGGACGCAAGGAGGGGGGGGAGGTGACACAGGGGGATCGACGTCTGCCACCCTCGCCAGGAAGGGGGGATGGGGGGAGGGGCTGGGCGTTTGTCTTCCGAACGTCACGCTGGGCAGGAAAGCTGCACAACGCCACAGAGCTCCACTCAGCGTAGCGGAAGCTCACGCGGTACGCTCGGGTGTAGGGAGAGGGGGGAAGGGGGGGAGCAGGGAGGGGGGGAGGGCAAGCGAGGTGCGCTCGCCGCTCGCGCCATATCTGACATCCTACACCTCCCACCTATCCCTTCCAATTGCGCTCAATAATGTTCTACCTGCGGACGCGTGTCATCGCGGACCTGGAACTCCCAAACATATCCCACCGTGTTATGCGCAATCCGGAAAGGGGAAGCAGCGTACATAGGACGAGCTGGTGGCGGATGAGCAGAAGAATGAGCAGGAGAACCACGCAGGATGGAGAGCCAAACAGCATTTTGCTGGATTCGGCTGGCCTGGTGAACTCCACATTGCGCGGTAATGTAGAGCCGACGGAAAAGGTGGTCACCATCCCCCAGGCCTATGTTGGGCGACAGGGGGCGGTCTCCGAAAAGCTTAGCCTTGCGCGCAATGCCCACGCGCACGCTCTTGCAACCTGGTCCCCTTCGTAGATGGGTCATAGGGTGGGCCTGGTTCTGCTTCACCCACCTCCACCCTGGTCCCCGTCTCGCGGCAGGGGTCAGGGGGCGGGCCTGGTTTGGCTGCACCCCCAGCCCTTCCTCACACTTCTCGCAGTGAGCGCGTGCATTGCCACCGTCTTCCTTCTCGTGCGAACTACTCCCAGCATAGGGAGAACGAGGATAAGGTAGGAGGAGGAGGAGAAGGAGAAAGACATGGACGAACAGCAGCAGCGAGGACTGGAGTGAAAGGAGCCCGAGGAGCAGGAGGACCAGGGGACGGCGGAGGGGGGAAAGGAGAGGGGGGAAAGGAGAGGGGCGACAACAAGGAGAAATGAATCGGATCCAGAGGCGTGATCCGCGCTGGGGCGAGAGCCAGAGCGCCATTCTGAACGACGACAACAAACGCCGATCCTAGAATTCTAGACGCTTCGCGTAACCCCACCAGCCCATCCAGAAACGATGCCCAGAGGAATTGCCTCGATCAGGGAAGTGGGCAGCACAAAGAGGAAGCCATTATGAGACATCTTAGGATATCTTCAGCCATCTTGGAGGTCATCTTGGGCCTTCCCAGGCGCTCTTGGAGGCATATTACTTAGTGCCCCCCCCCCAAGAGGCCAACATTTGTCTAAAACCTTAGTATAATCAATGATTCGGCATTCTCGCCGAGGCCTCTTGGAGCATCTTGGCAGCATCTGGGGGGGTTCTTGGGGCCCCTTGGGGGTCTCTTGGGAGCCTCTTGGGGGCATCCTGGGGGCCTCTCTTGGGGCTTCCTGGCCACCTCTTGGGGCCCTCTTGGGGCACCCTTAGGAGCCTTGGGGGCCATCTTTGGGCCATCTTGGGTGAGATCGATCACAGGAGGGGGGGTCCCCAATTAGGGTCCCCCCCTCAGGAGGCCAAAATGGAGCCAAAACCTTAGTAAAACCCTTGATTGTGGCTTCCTCGCCGAGGCCGTTTTGGACGCTCCAACGCGTCGCGAACCCCCCCGTCCATGTCCAGGGGTGGGTGGGTAAGTGCAGGGGTCAAGACTCCTCCCCGCCCGCAAGCCGTCTCGCTCACTCCCACCCGCCCTCCCAACACATACGTAGCACCCGAGACTGGCCCGAGCCGCAGCATATTCAGCAGTCGTCGTTGGATGGGCAGCTACTGGGGGCGAATCCGCCGCCGCCGCCGCCACCTCCGCCGCCGCCACCGCCCGCCGCCGCCGCCGCGCCGCCGCCGCCGCCGCCGCCGCCGCTGTCTGCCGCCGCCCGCCGCGCGCCCGCCGCGCCGTCGCCGCCGCCGCCGCCGCGCCGCCCGCCGCCGCCGTCGGCCGCCGCCGCCGCCGTCGCCCCGCTGCCGGATCGCGTTGCCGCCACCGCCGCCGCCCCCGCCGCCGCCGCCGCCGCCGCCGCTACCGCCGCCGCCGCCGCCGCAGCCGCCGCAGCCGCTGCCCCCGCCGCAGCCGCCGCAGCCGCCGCCGCCGCCAAGTGTACTCTGTATTGTTGTTTGACAGGGATGGTGGGGGGAGGCCGCATCGGGTTCGCTGCGTATGCTCCAGATTTGGAGGCAGAGTGTGTTTTGTATTGTTTTTGTACAAGGGATGGTGGGGGGGCCCTCATTGTCCCTGGTTGGCTCCTAGTGGCCTGGGGGAGGGGGTGTATATTAATAGGGAACAGTGATGAACCCTTCCCCGAAGGGGAAAAAGGAGGGAAACAGAGGAAACGTTGCAAACCACCTACGCCCAGAGGGCTGGTGGGATTAGGCCCACGGTGTAGCTGCAACTCCAATTTCAGACACAGAAAGCGTTCCGCTTCGAACACAAAACATTTGACATGCCTCACCATGATTTTTTTTCGTAAGATCGACATACGCATTATATGTAAATGATTGTGTGTCAACACTACGCTCAGGGGATAGGCTACTCGCCGGCCCTCTTCCACCCTCATCGTTCCCTTCCCCCCCCTCGGCTTCACGCCTTACGGCGGCGGCCGTTGTCGGTTACACGCAAAATACAGCCAAGACGCTGAAATAAGAAACAGTTTGGGTTCGGAGCTCCTTCTTTAGCGTGCCTGATTTCAGCAGCCCGACTGTACCCGGCGACGCAGGCGAAGGCGTTCCAGGTTGAGCTCCGCACGATGGAACGTCACGACCAGACGGAATTCGATTTGCAACGATCGTCTAGGCCTTCCAGATAGGATCGAAGTAGGTGGGATCGGAGGATCGCGCCGCATCGCCGATGCATCGGCGATGCGGCTCGATGTGGAGCCCAGTTTTCTCCACGCCGACGTCGCCGATGCTTCGCCGACGTCGCCGGTGCATCGCAGATGCATCGGCGATGCATCGCCGATGCATTGCCGATGCATCGGCGATACGGCGCGATCCTCCGAACCCATTATTCGGACCCCATCTGGGATGCCTCTAGATCGGGGTTGCGATCCCCAGGCCCCCGACAGCGTGATTTTTTCACAACGTCGACCCCAAGAGGTCTGGACCCCTTTGCGGGGACCGGTTTTTCATCCTGATTCGTTATTTGAAGGTCTCGGGGCCCGATAAGGCTCCCCAGAGGCCGAAAATTAAAAACAACAATGTGTCGTGATTTTTGTCACAACGCGAGGGGGTCTGGGTCGGTTCAAGGTTGAACGATCGACGCGGTGTCAACAACCTTTGCCCGCGCCGACGCCACACGGACCTCCCGTGCCCAGGCACTCCATCCCCGTGCCTGGCCAGGGCTCTCCTGGGCCCCGGTCTGGTGCAGACGCGCTTGTGGCAGAGGCAAGGAGGCTCTGTTCAGAGTCTTCTTGCCGCGGCCAGGTCGAAAAAATCAATCGAAGAAGAGTAAACAACGTAAACTGAAACTTTTGGCGCTCCGCGTGGATTTCTTGGATCTGCGCTGGGGCCCCCCGCCGGAGCCTCCGACGCCGCCGCTGGCGCGCTCCGCGCCAGGGAGGCGGGTCCAGCGCAGATGCAAGAAATCCGTGTGGAGCGCCAAAAGCTTGTGTTTATGAAAAAGTTGTTCTTCTTCTAAACAAATCTCACCGCCCACCAAACCACCCCAACCCAACCCGAAGGCTCCAATCTGCCCTCCATTCCCAGTGAGGGGGGGTCGGGGAACACTTTGGAAAAAACATGCAGCCCCCGCACCCCCGCCAAACTCGAAATTCGAGTCTTCGGGTTGGGTGGTCTGGTAGGTCATCATCTGTGGCACCCTACGCTGCGGCCTTAGGGCGGCCGGTGGCGTGCCTAGCGCCTCCTTCACGCCCACGGCTCAGAAGGCGGCCCAGACCCCCTTGGGGCCTTGAAAAAATCACGCAGGGGGGATTCGCCATGTTCGACCTCTGGAGGCCCTGGCCAGGCCACGGGGCCGTCAAAAAACGACTCGGGATGGAAGTCCGGTCCCAGGGAATGGGTCGAGACCTCCGGGAGTCTGCGTTGTGAGAACAAGATGACGTCGGGGGTCTGGGGGGCACGGGCGAGGGGCTGCGGTCGCTGGTAAGGCTTCGGGTTGCGCACAGACAGCCCCCCCCCCCATGTAGACCCGGCTGGCCTCAACGGCCCCCCCCCGAGCAGTCTGGGGCTGTCTGGACACTTCGACCCTGGGTCGCTCCAGGGGTGCCGAGACTGCCCCAGACGAAACTCGGGCAGGGGCTTGTCGAGGCCAGCCGGGACTACCTGGGGGGGGGGGGGGGGCGGGGGCCATCTGCGCGCAGCCGGGAGTCCGAAGCCCTGCCAGCGGTCGTCACGCGCGGGGCGTGGAAGCGGGGCGCAGGTGCTCATGTTCCCGGGCTCGCTCAAGCTCTTTCAGCGCAACACGGAGGCGAGGGGGGGTGGGCCCCGTCGGCCGCGGGCCGCCGTCTGCTCGGCCGGCCTGTGCTTCGCGGCGCGGCGGCGGTGTCGCGAGGAGCATGCCGCTCCGAGGTTGCCCTCGCACCACTGACAGCCGCATCAGCATGGTGCTGCTGTGGCGCTCGGGTGATCTCCATACGGTCGTCTAGGCTCAGCGTCGGCTTGACATGTGAGGCAGCAGGTTTAGTTTAGGTTATGCCCCCCGCCGTTGGAACAAGCGCGCTGAGCCTGACCGAGTTGGACAGAGCTTACACAAACAGGGCAGGGCTGACACGAGCGGGGCTTGGCTGAGTCAGCGTAAGCTGCACAGTTTTGAGCCAGCCATACCGTGGGTCTCTCGAGATCAAGCGTCCGTCATTTTGCCATCGCGCAACAGCGCAACACCACATTGTTAAACTCCACTGATCGTCGCGCCAGCGCACAAGCTGGACCTCGGTGGAGGGGGGCCGACAGGAGACACAAGTGTCGAGGCGGTCCAGGGGCTCGAGCACCCGTCTTTCCTTTCTGCCCTCGTCCCTCCTCTTCCTCCTCCTCATCCGGGTCCGTTTCCTTGTCCTACGTCCCACTTGTTTCAATTAGCCTAGCATTGAACGCAGTCCGTCTCCAACTCCTCGTCCTGTCTCAATTCGTCTTGGACTTCTCCCGTCCCCCGTCTCTTTTTCTCACGCGCCACATTCTTTCTCCATGTCCGCCCCCCCCCAGGCTCTCTCCTTCAGCCGCCCTTCCCCGTCCAACCCTGTTGTTCAATGCCTCGTCTGGCCTGGGCTATCTCACAATGCGAGCCACACGCGTGCATGTGGCTTGTCAAGCCGCTCCACTGTCGAGCCACACGCCTGCAGTGAACGGACACCACCCTTCAAGAACATGTAATCCACCCGCAGTTGCGGATAAGAGTGAGGGGGCGGGCGCGGCGTGGGTCGCGGGTGGGTCGCAGGCGGGTCGTGGGGTGGGTCGTTGGTGGGTCGCGGGTGGGTCGCGGGTGGGTCGCAGGCGGGTCGCGGGATGGGTCACGGGTAGGTCGTGGGTGGGTTCGCGGGTGGGTCGCCGGGTGGGTCGCGGGAGGGTCGCGGGTGGTCAGGGGGCAGGTCGTGGGTGGGTCGCGGGCAGGTCGTTGGTGGGTCGCGGGTGATTCGCGGGCAGGGTCGCGGACGGGACGACGGCAATAAACAACCAACCAACAACCAATAACAACAACACATCATTTTACCCTCATGCGCGATGTTTCTACACGAAGCATGCGACCATCATGTCAACCATCCACATCATGGGGGATGTTTGTTCTATAGCGGGGTCCGTTATTCCCAATCCCAGGTCTCTCGCCCAATGAGGTCTTGCAGAAACCTTCTCCGAAGAATTTCAACAGATCCCGCCTCGAAAACACATGCCCGCGCCTTGCTGCGCCGATGTGAGACCGCCAGTGGAGCCCCAGCGAAGGGTAAAGCACAAGGAAATATCGAACGACAGGATTGCCTTGATGGGGATGGGGGCTGTCGGCGGTGAGGCAAGGACCTGGCCCTGAATAGAAAGGGAGGAAGTCTCGAGCATGGCTGCTGTTGTTGCTGGGAGCGGCGCCAATGCTGAAGAGAGTAGGGCGCTAGTCCAGCGCACAACAAAACGAAGTCTCGAGCGGGAACGCTGGTTGTGTCGGGACGGCGGCTTCCGGCGGCGAGGAGGAACACCGCCTTGGGCAGGGTCTGGGCTGCGTCCACGTCCAAGAGCTGGAGCCTTTACCATATTCACCCTTGCCTTTTTGGCGGATGTGTATGCGGCCGTGTTGGAGGATCAAGACGTCCTTGATCTTGTCGAATGTCTGTCTCAATCCAACGGAAGTCAACACCATCAGATTCTCCGAAGGCGAGAGGCCTGCATGGCCCAAGAGAAGGGAGCCAAGCACATCGTCTCTCATCAAGACCTTAGGATCTAACTTGGAGACAAGTTTCCACCAGTGCTTCCTTCGGGAGATGTACGAGACCATCGACTCACCGTTCTGCCGAGACAGTGGTCCATATGGTCTCTGCCCCACCTGGAACAGGATCTTCGCTTCCTGCGCCTCTATGGGGAAGAGTGAAATACGAATCGCCAGCACCAGCTGATCGATCCCATGCGGAGTCAAAAGCATGTCCTTACCGAGATCCGTGGCAATATCGAATGCGTCACCTCTGAGGCCTTCTACAACCTTGTTGACAGCTGCGGTGATCACGCGCTGCTGCAAGGCGGCACTCATGCGCATCTTTGTGCGGAATTCCCACTCGTGAAAGTTGTTCACCGTCCCGTCGTAGATGTAGGAGCCACTCTTCGTCTCGGACCGCGTCAGCGCATCGGCGCTCGGCCGATAGCGAAGAGAAGAAAGTGCCATGTCGCAAGGCTCAGTCCCGAAGCGAGGGAAACTGCCAGCACAGAGAGTAAAGAGAGGTAGTGCGACACTCTCTGACGAGACGCGCGCGCAGTGGTACGATACGGGGATCGCGTGGCAGCTCCGCTACCAGTGTGAGATGATGCGTTTTAGCGCAGTGGCAGAAAAGGGGCCCCTAGAGGTCAAGCGGCAGCGAGTGGCGCATACACACACGTGACACATGCACTATCTCACAGTTGGTCTTGCTGGGAGCGGCGCCAATTCAAAAGAGATTTGGGCGCCGGTCCAGCGTAAAACGGACGGAAGTCTCGGGCGGGAGCGCTGGTTTTGTCGGGGCGGCGGTTTTCGGCGGCGAGGAGGAGCACCGTCTTGAGTAAACAGGGGAGGAACCCTCGAGCGGGAGCGTTGTTTTTGCTGGGGGCGGCGCCGATGAGAGAAAGATTAGCGCGCCAGTCCAAGGTGAAACGGGAAAAAGTCTCGAGCGGGAGCGCTGGTTTTGTTAGGGCAGCGGCTTTCGGCGGCGAGCAAGAACACCAGCCCTGAGTACAAAAGGAGGAAGTCTTGAGCGGGAGCGTTGTTGTTGTTGTTGTTGTTGTTGTTGTTGTTGTTGTTGTTGTTGTTGTTGTTGTTGTTGGGGGCCGATTTTGGCGGTCCCCCAAACCGCTCGAGCGTGAGCCTCGTTTTCAATGAAAATGTAGCCGGCGCCGCAGCGAGAGCGCCAGGGCACCTTTAAGGGGTCCAACAGTAATGAAGTTTCAGTAATTAACATTTCACAGCAACAACAACAATCGTGTTAAGACTGTTCGCTCTTATGAGCTCGAGTGTCCGTTAACGCAAGTTTCCCAAACCCTCGATACCCGCCTTCTTCGTCTTCGATCGTACCCCTTTTGGGGGGTATACCTTTCTTCCCTGCAGGCCGGGCCCCGGCAAGCGGCGGGGCGGCCGCGGACCGTCGGCTTGGCCAGCGGCAGCGCTGATCGGCGGCAGTCCGACCCCAAGAGGGACGGACTGGGGACCGACCACGACGACGACGTCGACGATGACGACGACGTCGACGACGACGACGACGGCGACGACGACGACAACGACGAGCGAAAGCGAGAGCGAGAGAGAGAACGACAGGACCACGAAGGGCACGAAATAGGCTACGAAGGGCGACAGCGGGGACACGAAGGGAATGCGTATGGGGCCACGAAGAGCGCGAACGAGCGGGGGCCACGAAGGGTAGATAATGCGGGGCCACACAAGGCAACGACGGGGCCACTGAGGGTAGCAACTGGGCCACGTAGGACAGCAAGGGGGCCACGGCGACAGCGGGGCCACGAAGCGCATGCACATGGGGCCGCGACAGGCGCGAACGAGCGGGGGCCACGAAGGGCATGCGTATATTCGGCCGCGGAGGGCAAAGACGAGGCCACTGTGGGCTTCAACGGGTCCACGAAGGGCAGCGATGGGGGCCGCAAAGGGCTGCAACGGAGCCACGACGGGCAGCGAGGGTGCCACGAAGGGTTGCAACGGAGCCACGACGGGCAGTGAGGGGGCCACGAGGGGCTGCAACGGGGCCACGAAGGGCAGCGAGCTCCCGATTCCTAAGTGATCGGTAAGGGAGTCCTGAGGGTGAGCGCGGCTCCTGGGTGCCTGAGTGTCGGGGGCGCGGCGCCTGAGTAAATTGCGAGAAATTCCAACGCAAGGGCGCTGTTCTTGAGTAAATTGCAAGCGAGTCTCCAGCGAGAGCGCTACTCCAGAGCGCCAAGGGAGCGATCTTCAAACACATTGCGAGGAAGTCCCAGGCGAGAGCGCGACTCCTGAATAATATGCGAGGAGGTCTCAGGCGGGAGCGGGGGTCCTGGCTAAAGTGTAAGGAAGTCTCAGGCGGGAACCGTTGTTATTGTAACCCGGGGGCCAGGGGCATAGTTTGAGCTTCGAGATTTTCCCTGATTAGAAATAGGGTGCGCGCCCTGGGAAAAGACACTTCAGTATAAACACGGATTGCGCACTGGAGGGGGGATCAACAAACATAGTATTTCAGTAATGAGATTCCAATATCGGCATCAACATCAACAACAACAAGTTTAAGGCTGTTCGCTCTTACTGGCACGCGTGTCTTGCATTCTGTATACATCAACCCTCGGTACCCGCCCATTTCGTTTGTGATCGCACCCCCTTTCGGGGGGAATCTTGCCGCTGTCGGCCACGGACTGAAACCCGAGGAAATCTTAAGCAAACGCGCCGTTCCTGAGTTCAGGGCCCTCTGTGGCCAGGGGCTTTCGGAATCCATCTTGAGAACAACGGGGACCCTTGTCGCCGTGTCTGGGCCGCCACCAACTTGCCTTAATTACGGGGACGTCTCGCTGGCAAGGGCCTCTGCGAATGCATCTTGAGGAAGTATCGAACGGTAACCCGTGTCGTCGTGGTTGGGCTTCCACCAACTTGACTGAATCAATAGAAAATCTCGAGCGAGAGCGCCGTTCCTGAGTTCGGGGGGCATTCCTGGCCAGGGGCTCTCGGAGTAAACCGTGAGGAAGTATCGAGCAGGAGCCCTTGCCGTCGTGGCTGGACCTCTGCTACGAGGAAATCTCGAGCGAGAGCGCCGTTCCTGAGTGCAGGGGTTTCTTGCAACGTTGTCCTGGGGTAACTTGTGGGGAAGTATCGAGCGGGAGCCGTTGTTGCTGTAGCCGAGCCTCCAAAGGTACACATTTACAATCAAGCCCGCGCTCGAGCCGGGGCCTCGTTTTCATAGGAATTGCAGTCGGCGTCGCGGCGAGAGCGCGTGGAACTGTTTCCAGAGACCAACAGCAATTATGTTTCAGAAATTGGTATTCATCAACATCCATGTTAATAGTGTTCGTTCTTCTTTGGTCGCTTGCCATCTCAACACGTAGATCTCAAACCCTCGGTTCCCGCCCTCTCCGTGTTTGCTCGTACCCCGTTGGGGGATTGGAGGTAGATTTCCCAACCATCATGTGGTGTTGGGTCATCGTTTTGAAGAGACAGCGCTCCGCGTTCCTACTTTCCTCTCCTCCTCCCCCTCCTCCTTCCTTCTCCGCCTCCTCCGCCGATCGATCGGGCCCACGCGTTGATTTCCCGCGCGATGGATCCCACGTTCTGGTGTGCTGGCCGACCCGCCCGCCATGATGCGCCCGCCCGACCCGCCCGTTGATGGCCGCCCGCCTGATCCGACCGTCAGGGCCCGCCCGTCCCGACCCGAGCCCGCCCGCCCAAGTTAAGGCCCGACGCCATAGGGGGTCCACGCGTTAGCGCGTGCCAGCATGCCCGTAGAGATTAGAGAGCCAGTTCTTGTTTCTTTTTGCAGTCACGGCCTCTGCAGATTTGTGCACAATCTGAGCATGGGGAACATGAGAAAACATAATCAAGGGCAGGGGCATGATGGTTTTCAGCAACCATGTTGCCCTCATCGATGCTCCTTTCTTTGACCCTCGTCGACACCCTCCCCTCCCCTTCCACGCCACTCTCCTCCTCGCCCCCCCCCTCTCTCCACATCCCCTGTGCCACGCCGTTACGCTTGGTCTTTGCATCCTCGAAGGAAGAAATCCCCAAAGTGGCACGCCGCTTGACTCAGGGCCAGTGGGTGATGACGCCTGTCGTTCAGCCTTTTTTGGCTGCTGGTCTCAGGGCCGCAGCCTGGCTGGAGGGGTACACTGGGGTCCGGTGGTTGATGTTGAACCACAAGGAGCACCCCGCACCTACCAGCCGTCCCCTATCGCTCGTCTCCTCGCCTCCCTCGCCCGACGGCGGTCACGAATCTGGCGGTCTTGCACAGTGGACCGCCGCGGCCACTTCCAAGCGCTCCGAGCAGCTGGAGGACGGGTCCAAGTGAGAGTGATCATCCTTGTTCCTTGGGCCAGCGGCTTCTCGACTGCTGGTCTTGCGCCCATCTCCATGTCCACCAGCGGCCCCCGATCGCCCGTCCCCTCGCCCCCCTCGCAGGCCACCTTCCGTGCGGAGCTGTCGCGGCAGTACGTGCACTACCTGCGCCAGCTCTGGCGCGCCGCTCCCGCCCTCCCCCCCGCCCGCCGCCCGCCTCTCTCGACTCGCCGCTCCGCGGGGCGCTCCGAGAGGGCTCCTCCGCCCCACCCCCCGGCGCTCCCCAGGTGCTCCCAGGCGCTTCCCCGGCAGTCCCAGGCGCTCCCGAGCGCTCACCGCGGCGGGCGCCTCGGGGCCCCGGGCCATGGGGTTTCCCAGAAGTTCCACAGTCGCTGCGGCGCGCTCCTGGGGCGCCATCGCTGCGGTGAGGGGGCCGCCCTGGGCCCCATCGGCACGGCGAACTCACGGTGGCCGGCGACCTGGGTCTCCTCGGGGAGGCGCTCCAGGGTTGCCCACCGCTGGGCTTCATCGAGCACCTCGGCGTCGGACTCGACCCCAGTGGTGGACCTAAACGGTGTTCTGGCGATTCCGTGGGCATGCTTCGTTCCGGTGTCGTTTTGCAGCAAAGGCGGATTGAAGACAGAGCGAGGGAGAGCGAAGACGAACACGAAAACGAAAACCACGGTGTTGGCCGCTCCCTGCTCGACCCCAGCGCGGTCACGACGCGCGGTCCGCCCCCCACCCCTCTTTTGCTGGTGTGGCAGCGCGTGCCGATGCCACGCGAGCCTAAGCAGCCGTCCAATCGCGGCCCACGCGCCGTGCGGGGCCGGGGCGCGTGTCGCTGGCCGCCAGCGCGCGCGCTTCACACCTCGGAGGCGGGTGGAGCAGGCCGAGTCCACCGCGACGCTCCGCCCACCAGTAAGTCAGGGGAGGCAAAGGTGCCGAGACCGCTACCCTTCGCCCGTTTTCCCCTTTGTCGGCCTCCTCGGAGGCCCTCGTTGCCACCGTTGGACTCGCCTCGAAGTTTTGGTCAGAGCGCACCCCGGGAGAGGTCCGGAGAGTAGAGGTATCGGTATCTCTTGCCGTGACATTCCTCCTCGTTCCAGGGCGGCGCAGAGGGGGGTCAGCAGCAGCAACAGCAGCAGGAAGAGGAGGAGCTGCAGCGGCAGGATGCGGCAGGATGAGGAAGGCGAGAATGGCGAAGGACAGCGAAGGAAGAGGGTATCAGACAAAACGAAGAACCACAACCCCAGCGCGACCCCAATCAGGGAAAAAACATGTTGCATGAAATCATTGCGTGACACTGCTGGGCATTCCTTGGCATTGCGTGGCATTGCTTGCCATTGCTTGCCATTGCTTGGCGCTGCTTGGCATTGCGAGGCAGTGCGTGACACTGCTTGGCATTGCGAGGCATGGCTGTGCATGGCTTGGCCCTACGTGGCGCGGCAGCAGGGAGGCAGGACCCGGGAGCCAACACACGGAAGCCAAGACCAAGGAGCCGAGGAGCTCAGGAGCCCAAAGCACGGAACCCGAGGAAGGCGGCGAGGAGCCAAGGAACCGAGACCAGGGAGCCAAGGCGAGGGACCCTTGGAAGCAGAAGGGAAGGAGCCCGAGGACGGCAGCCAAGGAGCCAAGGAGCCAAGAACCAGGGAGCGCAAGGAAGGCCAGGCTGTCAGGCCTCCCACGCACCGTCTTCTCCTCATAAGCAGGTCGGTTATCCTCCACCTCCTCCTCCCCCTCCCTCCTCCCCCTCCTCTCTCCCCCTCCCCTCCCCCTCCTTCCCCCCTCCCCCTCCTCCTCCTCCTCCTCCTCCTCCCTCCTCCCTCCCCCTCCTCCCCCTCCTGCTCTTCCCCTCCTCCCCCCTCCCCCTCCTCCACAATTACTTAATATGAATACTACTCTCCCTCTTCCCCTGATGACGGCCTGGGAGTGTCCGACCCCCCTTTTTTACACACAGGTTTCCCCGGAGTTGGGTTTTCGCTTATATATTTGTTATGCTGCTCTCGCTGAGGCGCCGACCTCATTTTCGTGCCCCGCTCGTTCCGAATCGTGCTCCCGCTGCAGCGCTGGCCTCATTTCCGTGCTTTCGTTCGTTCCGAATGGTGCTCCCGCTGCAGCGCTGGCCTCATTTCCGCGCTTCCGCTCGTTTCGACTCGTGCTCTCGCTGCAGCGCTGGCGTCATTTCCCGTGCCATGCCACGGCATGCAATGCAATGCTCGGTTGATACTACGCTTTGCGGTGCTCTTCTACGCCATGCCACGCAGTGCTCTACAATGCATCGCGTACCCTTTCGGGATCATTGCCCTGCTCGACATCCGACTGTGCGAGTAGAGAGGGGATCTGCGCCATGGTAAGGGATGGGAGGGAGGGGTCGGATGTCAGATATGACGCGAGCGCACCTAGCTTGTCTTCCCCCCCTCCCCCTCCTCCTCCTCCTCCTCCTCCTCCTCCCTCCCTCCCTCCCTCCTTCCCTCCCTCCCTCCCTCCCTCCCTCCCTCCCTGCCTCCCTCCTCCTCCCACTTCAATTCTCACCCTTCCTCCCCGTCCTCCTGCTCTAAATATTTGTTTGTTGTTTGTTTGTTTCTCTCTCTCTCTCTCTCTCTCTTCCGTAATGATATTCCTCTTCTTCGTTTTCTCGTTATTGTTATTCAGATGTTTCTTACGTATCCTTATCTTCCTTTCTCCTCCTCACAACAAGCACGTACCCGCTCTCCTACGGTAGATTCGTGTCGTGTCGACCGGCGGCGACCCCGCCGCCGGCGTTGAACGTTGAACGTTGGCGACGGCCCAGAATCAGGTTGATGTTGAGCGATTGGACGTTACGGAAACGGCCGAGCGTTCAAGGTTGAACGATCCCCGCGGTGTCAGGCACCAACGCCCGGGTCGACACGACACGAATTTTCCGTAAGAGCCCTTCAGGCCAAGCTACATTCGGGAAGGAATGCCCGAATGCTCCTGGCCCCGATCTTCAAGGGGGGAGGAGGTGGAGAAGAAGGGTATGAGACTAGAGCTGCAGGATGGATCGGCGCCCAGAAGCTAAACAAAAACGAAAAGAAGGTAGGTGTAAGAGGAGGATTTGCAGCAACAGCGGCAGGAGGAGGATGTTTCCATAGGTTGCCACCGGGTCAGAAGGGTTACGCGCAGAAGCGTCGATCCTCAAGCAGGAAAAGGAGGAAAAGGAGAAGACGGAGGACCAGAGCAAACCCAAGATGCATCAGGGATGCTGCAATGCACCCTCCCGTGCCACGCAAAAACCTTACAAGGTTTCATCTTTCTTCCAGAAGCGCCCCCCTAAAAGCCAGCATCTGATGGGCTTGCCACCTCTCGGGGCCTCGTGAGGGGTGCTACTGGAGGCCTCGGGGGCCTCCTGGGCAATCCTGGGGGCACCTTGGGCCAGGGGCACATCGAGCAACACCCGATTTTACCTTCTCCTCTTTGACCCTCTGGCCTCAGGACCAATCTGCGCAGTCGTTCGGTCGTTCCTCCCTTCTCTCTTTTTCTCTCGCTCTCTCTCTCTCTCTCTTTTTATCCTCGTGGTCCTCTTCCCCTCCCCCTATGGCGAAGGCCAAGGGGAGGCCGACCGAGGGCGCCAGCTTCTGACGCAGAACCGTCCGCAGCACCAGTCCCAGGACGAGAGAGCGAGGCGGAGCCGCAGCAGCGTCGGGACCGCGAGAGCGAGGGACCCAGAGCTCCAGTGTTCGACTACACGTAGGTCAGGAGGGAAAGAAACACACAGACACAATTAATCGTCGATTCCCCAGAAAACATTGGAAACTATGGGAAGTTGGGGGGAACACAAAAACCCAGAAAATTCAAGAAAATGTGGGGAATCCTGCTGTTTCTGCGTGTATTTATTTGTGTGTCCCAGGGCCCCTTCAGTAAGAGCGACCTTTCGCCGGAGTGACCTCTGGTGCGGGCTCGTCGGGGTCCCCCCGATGGCCGAGCGCGATGCGACAGTGTGGCTGCTTGCGCGCCTGGGTTTGACTACTCTTGCCTAGGGCCATTCTTGCGTGCAGCCGAAGTGTCGTGACTTGCTCGCGACGTCGACCCCCAGAGATCTGGACCCCTTCCCCGGGCCCGGTGTTTCATCCCGAGGTGTCTGTTGATGCTCCTGGGGCCCGGCGAGAGCCTGTGGAGGTCGGGCAGTATCAAAACCCTTCAGGCCGGATTTGTTCGTAGCGAGAGGAGGCGGAGGAAGAGGGCGAAGGAGGCTGAGGGCGACTGCGAGGGAGGAGGAGGGCGAGGGCAGGGAGGAGGAAGGAGGAGGAGGAGGAGGATGAGGAGGAGGAGGAGGAGGAGGACAAGGGCGAGCGAGGGAGGAGAAGGGCGAGGGCGAGGGCGAGGGTGGCGGAGGAGGCCGCCGCCGAGGAATTTCCTGCGCCGCGCCAACCGCCAGCTGGACGGCCTGCCGCGCGGCATCAGTGCGGACGGCTGCGCCCGCGGCTGCCACATCATCGAGTCGCTCGGCGCTGGCCTGGCTCTGCAGGCGGGCGCTCCCGGCGCTTTCCGCCAGGGAGGGCCAGAGGCAACGATAGGGGGGGATACGCATAATTAAGGGGGGGGTGCAAAGCCCTATCGCCCATCGATCGCCGATGGGGGCCCAGTAGCCCCGACCTGCCCACGAGTGTCTATCGCCGATCAATCGGCGATATATCGCCGAATCCAGGTCGATGTTTCCCCCCCTATGCCAGTCCCCCTTATCGTTGCCCCTCAGAGCGGCGGGATGGAGGGGGGGCGTTTTGGGGTGGTAGGGCTTTGGATTGCGCGCAGGCAGTCTTCGCCTGGCTTCAACAGGCCCCCCCGAGCAGTCCCAGTTGGCCTCCATCGGCCCACCGAGCAGCCCAGGGCGGTCTCGACACCCCGAAGACGCCCCCGGCGGCGTGCCCCTGGAGCACTCCGCGCCCCAGCGGTGAGGTCTCGGGACCGCCCCCGGGCTGCCCGGGAGGCCAGTGGAGGCCGGCTGGGACCGGCCTGGGGGGCCGGTTGGGGGCCAGCTGGGACTGCCTGGTGGAGCCCTCCGTGCGCAGCCACGAGGCCTCGCCATGCTGGGATGGGGGCGGGGGCGTCCGAGGGCGGCGGTGATCCTACGGCGTTGCTCCAATCGGCCTGCGGGGATCCAGCCAGGCAGATCCAGGAAAGGCCCGGCAGGTCGAGGCAAGTCCAGATGGATCAAGGCGGGTCAAGGCAAGTCGAGGCAAATCCAGAGATATCTACGGACGTCTGGAGCAAGTCGTGGAAGCCCCACTCGTTATGAAACATCCGGAAGGGAGGTTTTTGGACCAAGTTCTCGGCCTCAAGGACCCTCGCCTCAAGTAATAGTAGTAGTGGTAGCAGTCGTAGTAGTAGTAGTAGTAGTAGTAGTAGTAGTAGTAGTAGTAGTAGTAGTAGTAGTAGTAGTAGTAGTAGTAGTAGTAGTAGTAGGTAGTAGGTAGTAGGTAGTAGTAGTAGTAGTAGTAGTAGTAGTAGTAGTAGTAGTAGTAGTAGTAGTAGTAGTAGTAGTAGTAGTAGTAGTAGTAGTAGTAGTAGTAGTAGTAGTAGTAGTAGTAGTAGTAGTAGTAGTAGTAGTAGTAGTTAGTAGTAGTAGTAGTAGTAGTAGTAGTAGTAGTAGTAGTAGTAGTAGTAGTAGTAGTAGTAGTAGTAGTAGTAGTAGTATTAAGTAGTAGTAGTAGTAGTAGTAGTAGTAGTAGTAGTAGTAGTAGTAGTAGTAGTAGTAGTCGTAGTAGTAGTAGTAGTAGTAGTAGTAGTAGTAGTAGTAGTAGTAGTAGTTGTTGTAATAGTAGTCGTAGTAGTAGTTGTCGTAGTCGTAGTAGTCGCAGTAGTAGTAG